ATATTTTTTAATAATTTTTTTGCAGGTTGATAAACATTTTTTTCATAAAAGTATTACCTAAATTGCATACCCAAAATTAAAGCCACAATTATAAAGAATGGACGTGTTAAAATATAATAGTATATTAATCCTTTGACATACCCAAAATAATAATATGTATTTTGTTCGTACCCTTTTCCCATCTGTATGAATTTAGTTTGCATAATATTATAGTACGAAATTGAGTATCTAATTCATATTTTGGGGCTATATATTATGAATAGATTAATTACATTATTGTTGCATCTAGTAATCTTGGAAAAAAAATAGCCACGTGACAAGTTCTGGAGATCACAAGTTTTCAATCAGTGTTATAATGGAGTGTGTTTGAATTGTGATGGGAATGATAAGAACAAATACACACCTCATTTCATTGGCCAAAGCAGTTCTTGATTTGTCTGAGATGATTAGAAGTGCTAACCAAGTGATGATAAGAACAGCTCAACCATCATGGGAAAAACTTGAATGATTTCTTTCATTGCCAAGGTCACCCTCTTTTTGAATGTTGATATTAAAGGCAGGACACCCTACTCACTGTCAATCACATGGATCAAAATCCCAGAATATGCAGGGATGATTTTACATGATTTTGGAAGATAATAGATATGTTGGACTCGAAAATAGTAATTCCTAACTAAAAAAAGAGAGCCATGTGTTCTTCCAGGGATACGTCTAGCTCAGCTCCTGGAACTTGGTATCTCACTCTTGTTAGCTCTTCTTGATCTCCAATCTCATCATCATTAGGAAGTTCAATGGCTCTCATCATTTTGACTCTGTAGTTCTTTCTCACTGAAGAAGAGATTTGAACTTCTTTGCTGCTGGGATGAGATTACATTTGTGATTGTTATGGCTTAAAGTGCTGTAAATATGCCTGACTATTATTAGCTACTGTCTCTTAATCTATCCCATGAACAGTAGGTGATTCTGACAAGCCATCCTCAGGTTGATGAGGGAGGAACAAGGAAGGGCCGTCTACTTCTTAGCCGGTCATGGAGGACCATCTTTGTTGCGGTCATCAAATCTGGTTTGCCCCCTGGAGGTGGAGATTGATCATTCACAGAAGCACATACTTCAGTGAGAATTCACAATTGAAAAGCGACAGATAGGGATTCAGGTAAGGAAAGCTAGTTACAAAATATTGTTGCTGAAATTCATTTAAAATAAGAAATATGATAACAATGGAAGGCTAGTTACAAAACTGCGTAGTAGCTTACCAGTCCATCTTACATGCTCCTTCCAGGTGCTCCATCTTTACAAACTTCAGAACTTCTCTAATATGTTTAGAAAGATCCTCCAAGTTTATGACACATACCTGGAAAAGGGTCAAAATAGTCCACATTCACATACACATGGGAGATTCTCTATTGCACTTAAATACATTATGCAACTTCACCAAAGCAGTGAAAGTTATATGGTTTAGTAGACAGTCAAAACTGAAATAAATTATCAAACAAAATGCCAATAAAGATGGTTGAATTGAAGCATAACTTTATCTATAAGGTAGAGTAAGCCTGGTTGCTGTTATAAATTTGAGCTTCTTTTATATGTACCCTTGCAAGATATATCAGTTACGGAAAAGTTTTAGCTCAAAAACATGGTGTCAGGTGGATAGTACATAGTTGAAACTATGAATCTTGAATGACTATTGCATGCATAATCTTGTTAAAAAAGGTTGAAGGTAGGAAAAATGGCATGCGAGTTAGAATATATATACCTCAGATGCTTTTGCGAGGCTAAGAACTAAGAATTGCACCATAAGACCATTGCATCATGGTGCCACTTGTTTATGATTATTACATCATCAACTCTGTATCCAAAATCTAAATTAGTATTATTGATTTTGTTCCCTGGTATATGTTGTCTTCACCAATATCAATGTGTTTGTTTAAAAAGGAACAAGCTCATAAGAACTGTTCTTTCCCACATCATTTGACCCTTTATAAAAATTAAATTCTGCTCTTAAGAGTGACTGAAGATCAAATGCCGAGATTGGGCATTCAAACAAAGCTATGCCATAGGAATTTTTACTAGAGGCTAAAATAAAAAGAAAGAGCAACCAAATACCATTTTGGATTGTATAAATTAGTAGCAATCCAGTTACTTCTCATCACCAGCGTGCTTTTCTAACTCCACACCAATGGCACAAACACAGCCTGACCACAGAAATGTAACCACACATGCCTATATCCAAGGATGGACGTTCCAATTTTCTTTTCAGATAGGAATGATCATTGATAATATTTAGCCCTAAGTTCAATTAAAAAAAACATGAGTATGATCCAAAATGTATAAATCAAACAACTCTTTTGTAGTATTATGTCTATCACTAATATGGTGTAAAACAAGGTTACGTAGTAATATCTCACAAGTTTAGCCAAAATGCTTATTACAATAAAAGTAAAGATGCAGATGCAGGAAAAGAAATACCATAGGAAATAAGACAGATCCTTTCACACAAGATTGAAATACAAAATTACACAGATAAGTAAACAAACATTTCCACTTAGAATTTGACATATTTAAAGTCACAACACAAATAAAATAAAATAGCAAGCCTATGTATATTAAATTGAAAACACAACAACCATAGATACAAGCAAATGTGATTTCCTCCGGCTTTCTTGTGGTAACAGAGTCCAACTCCAGCTTTGCTGCCAATGGGTAGAAGAAACAAAAGACATTGAAAAAGAAAAGACGAGTGAGAGAGGGAGATTTGTTGAGATAGAAAGGAAGAAGAAACGCAAAAAGATGTAAATTCCTACTGAGTTGAATCAGATTCAGAATCAGAATAAGAAATGGAAAATTGAAGTTACAAAAGGCTTACATTTGCACTGTCCAATCACCAAAGAGCCTGCACTCCTTTGCTTCTTAGGGCATCCTAGAGAAATTTACAGAAGGTAGAAGGACAGCCTTTGCATTGGATTGGTCCCATTCCAATGATTCCCAGCAATCTTTTGGGTATACATGAACTTGTTTGAGGGAGGAAGGCTGGCCATTGTCAAGCGAGGAAAGATGCAAAGGAATCCTCTTTAGCTTCTCACAGTAGCCAATCTTCAAACTCCTGATGGAATCACAAATCAACACACTGGAACTACTACAGATGCTCTTCAATTCGGGCAACTTCTTCAATTCCAAACTCTGTAAATTGGGTAGAGTGATTTTTTCTAGGGTTTCTATTTCTTCATAGGGCGATGATGAAAACAGTTCCTCCATTTGGTTACAGTCATCAACTTCAATAGTCTCTAGAGATTGGAAGTAGCGTAGCAGCCATCCAAGTGAGAATACTTTCTTTAATTTAGGGCAATTATACACATCAATTGTTTTAAGAGAGAAAAAGGTGGTGGAAGGAGCCGATAAACCAAGTGCTTCTTCATCAAAAACGGATTCCAAATTCTCTAAGCTCCAAAGCTGCAGATACTCAAGGGTTGGAAGTGGGTTGAACCCCGACCAAAAAACACTCTCTATATTTCCGCAACCTTTAATTTCAACCCTTTTGATGGAATCACAGATCAAAACAGTACTAAAACCACTATAGATGCTCTTCAATGCGGGCAAATCATCCAATACCAACCTTTCTAACTTGGGTAGAGTGAGTTTTTCTGGGGCTTTTTCTCTTCCTCCTCCATCTTCGGACCATATTATTTCCTCCATTTGATCACATTCTTTCACCTTAATAGTCTGAAGATTCTGGAGATACAGCGACAACCCCAGTGGCAATAACTTCTTTATTTTTCCACAACCCACAACTTTAATTTTTTGAAGGAGAGAAAAAGTGCCAGCTGGCAGTGGCGCTGGCTTGGCAATTGTTCCTACTTTCTCAAACACTGCATTCAAGTTAGGCAAATGATAAAGGGAGAGTAACTCAATGTTTCGAAGTGGCTTTAAGCAGCGCAAGGAAACCACAAACTCCAGGCCATCACATTTATCAACTACACAACCCCGCAAGTCGGTTGCATTTTGAATGCCAGAAATGTCGTTTAAGATTCTCACATCCTTGCAGTCCAAGATGTACAAGCCTTGTACATCAGATGGTAGGCAAGTAGCCTCCCCACAGATATCAATATGACGGTATATAATCAATTTTGCACTACTTGAAAAGCCAGCGATCATTCTATGCCCTGTTTCTTCTTCTTTGCAACCTCCAACATAAAAAGAGTACCCATTTAGCAACTTTCGTTTAGAATTGACAAAGCGGCTCATATCATCCACCGTAGAGAACCAGCCATGAAGAAATTCCAACTTCCTCAATTTTCCAATCTCCTCCCCTTTCAGTGGTATAGTCCAATATACTCCTAAATGCTGAAGGTCGGAGAGATTTTGTAGTAATCCATCAGGTATTTCAGATAATTTTCCACCAAGATGAAGATATTTCAAATTGGTTAACATATTGAGGCCTTGTGGTAGTTCTTCAATTGATGTCCCTAAAAGGTCCAACTTTTTTAAGCCTCCAAGGTTGGATAAAGATGGTACCTCTTTTAAGGACTTACAATTCTCCAACAGTAGTGTAGTAAGATTCTCCAATTTGGAAACAGAACTCGGCAGCCTACCTAGCTTGTAATTTTTAGAAAGATCAAGGATCTTCAGCCCAAGCATCTGATCAAAAAAAGCTTCTGAAATTGTTGTAATCTTGATATTGGACAACAACAAGGTTGTGAGCATTGGACACTTGGGAGACAACATGCTTGAAGGAATTTCTCTTATGTTATTATTCATTAGAGAAACCTTCAAAAGATCTTCTTTCCATTCATGCTCCT